CTTCACAAACAATTAAATTATATCTATTGACAGTGGGAGAGACGCTTTGTGGCCCGTGTGATCCGCACATGAATACATGCGAGGATCCTCTTGTATGCAGCTCAGAAACATATAGATGTGAATGCCCGGATGATAGAGTTCAAATCGGAGATAATTGCTGTAAGAATTTAGACGTTTTCTCATAGATTAATATCTGATGTCCCATGTATTGATTTAAAATGTTTTCCATACATTTATTGATGGAGTCTTTAATTAATGACGTTTATCATACATTATTATATTTTTCATAGATTAACATATGATATTTCCCATGTATTGATTTAAAACGTTTTTCATAGGTTAATTGATTAAGTATCCAATATAAGAAGTTTTTGTTTAAGATTAATTGATGAAGTCTCTAATTTATGTCGTTTATCATAGATTAATTGATAAGGTCTCTAATTTATGCCGTTTATCATAGATTAATTGATAAGGTCTCTAATTTATGTCGTTTTTCATAGATTATTTGATAAGGTCTCTTATTTATGACGTTTATTATAGAATAATTGATAAGGTCTCTAATTTATGTCGTTTATCATAGATTAATTGATAAGGTCTCGAATTCATGTCGTTTTTCATTGATTAATTGATAAAGTCTCTAATTTATGACGTTAATTATAGAATAATTCATTAAAGGTTAGCTAAAACCATCTTTATTGTTTCGGCGCCCTAAAATGACCTAAACTGTGTTGGTGCGCCGTAAAACCAAAGAAACAAATATTTCATTTGTTTTTATTCAGATGGAACATTAGTAACAGAGCCGTGTACGACGGAAACAGATACATGTATAGATGATCATGCTGCATGTAATGGCACAATATGTGACTGTAAAGATGGATATACATTTAATGGTTCACATTGTCGTAAGTTGTTTTTATGCTCATGTCGATCTATAAAGATTGCTCCTACTTAACTTGTGTCAAGCCGAGAGTTGCTATCTTGTTATAACTGTTTGAAATACTCATCAGGTTCTGAATACTTTAGTGCGGGATTGTTTGCACTTATGTGGATGGATATCAAAATAGATGTATGAATGTTCAGAATGATTTATAAACTGTTTTTAAGAATAATTCTTCTTTGAAATGTTGTTAGAAAGAATCTCAGAATATATTCATGAATAACTGGTTAATTGTTCAATAGTTTTTTATCGCTGTAAACATCTATACATATTAAGACGAGCTATTATCCAATCCATAGCTACTTGAAATGGTTTATTTTGCATTTCTACAAATGTTTGCCATCTACAATTAATATGATAAACGTGAATTTTTACCTGATTATAAAACATTGCTCAAATACTCAGTTGCTGAAATTGCTTCAATTATAACTGAATCAAGTAACATGAGGTGAAATACTTGTGACTTTTATTCTTACAGTTGGTGAAAATCTATGTGACCCATGTGACCTTTCGACGTCAACATGCTCTTCAGACCTAGTGTGTAACCCGGCCACGTACAGATGTGAATGTCCTTCTGGGTTCGTCCAGATAGCTGGAGCTTGCTGTAAGAACATTTGAGCCGCGTCATGACAAAACCAACATAATGGGTTTGCGACCAGCATGGATCCAGACCAGCCTGCGCATCCGCGCAGTCTGATCAGGATCCACGCTGTTCGCTATCAGTTTCTTTACTTGTTATAGGGTCTGTAAGCGAACAGCATGGATCCTGATCAGACTGCGCGGACGCGCAGGCTTGTCGCATGCTGGATCCATGCTGGTCGCAAACACACTATGTTGGTTTTGTCGTGACGCTGCTCATTTTATGTTTTTTTTTTATTGTTTTTTAATCCTCGCTTTCTTGCGGTATTCTGGTTTTCACTTAGCATTGCGAAATAGGTTATTTTGTATAGTACTGGTTTTTAGACCCTCTTCTAAAGCTGCTGTTTTATTCTGCAGTATGTAAAACATTCCAAGATTAACATGTGTAGACATAAATAATGTTTGTCTCTTTATGTTCATTAAAATGATACTTATAATTCTATTAAATAAATAAATAAATACGTATAAGTATAAAAGAAATTATGTTTTTTAATGTTTAAAGTTAAAACAGTATAACCTAAACATATATTTTCAAAAATGCAAGAAAGATATGACAAAAATTGTATAGATTTTATATGACAGTATCTTTTATTTTGTTCTGTTAGTTGCTAACTGAACAGGATAAAGCATTAAACATGCAATATTTCATATCAAATAATGTAATATAGTTGGAAAACTTCACTGCACAGTATGACACACTTGTTTTAATATATATTTATATTTAGATGGAAGATTTGTTACACAAGTCTGTACAACTGCGCTCGACACATGTGTTGATAATAACGCTGCCTGTAATGGAACAGTGTGTGATTGTGTTCATGGGTTCCACTGGAATGGAACTTTGTGCAGTAAGTTTATATTATTTAAAGTAAATTAAAGTAAAACTTGTTACGTTAGATTAAAATTTCTGCCGCTACATAAATTTTCCTCACGGAAAATCATTAATTTCCATAGTTCCCATAAAACTTTTGAAAGCCCTTTATGGCAATTAATGCTCTTCTTTCTTACACAATTTAATTTCTGTTTAAATAGATAGCATGTGTTGACCTTGAAATGAAATAGTTTTCAATGAAATCACTAATAATTTAATTTTAATTGAAAATATCCTGTCTGCTTTTGAATCATTTATATTTTTAAAATTTTAGATTTCAAAAATAAGCACCACTGTTTAAGTTCTTAAGTACATTTTGTATAATAATGCATTTTATCGCACATTTCTTTCCTACCAGAATGGGTTTTGCATGGAGTTTGTGAAATATATTTTTATTTAATTTTTCAATGAAATGTAATTAACTGTAATTTCTTAAAGGTGGTGATAGCTTATGTGACCCATGTGACCCTGACAGCAACACGTGTGCTAACGGTCTTGTTTGTAGTACAGATACGTACAGATGCGAATGTGACGCACCACTGGTGCAAATTGATGATGCTTGCTGTAAATATATACTTTAATTAACTTTGTCTTTATTTTTGTGTCGCCTCTACGGAGTAGTGGCGACATATAGGGATCACTTCTCCGTCGTCTGTCTGTCTGTCCATCTGTCCGTCTGTCTGTCTGTCCATCCGTCCGTCACAAAACTTGTCCGGACTACCCCTCATAAACAACTGGTGCAATTTCATCCAAACTTTACAGGAATGATCAGTACCAAGTCTAGTTGTGCATATTGTCAGCATTTTCCGGTTCAATGATTTTTGTCAGAGTTATGGCCCTTTAATAATTTTTTATTTTAAAGTTTGTCCGGACTACTTCTCGACAGCAACACGTGTGCTAACGGTCTTGTTTGTAGTACAGATACGTACAGATGCGAATGTGACGCACCACTGGTGCAAATTGATGATGCTTGCTGTAAATATATACTTTAATTAACTTTGTCTTTATTTTTAACACTCATTCCTTATGTATTCCAGTTTTAAATTTGGATTTTTCAGAATTGTTAAAAATGTTGCTAAGTAAGATGTTTAAATTACGCAAACATCATTGTAGAACCCGACCTGACGTGGCTCTATACTGGAAGTATAGACAAGACTTTGTTGTCGAATGCTTCAAAATAAGGTCTTATGATATATAAGTGTTCTTCCATTTTATCAATAAACATTTTGAAATAGTAGTCAACAATGACGGCCTCATAGCATTAAAGTGACCCAATAGTCAGTCTGCAAACATTTAATGCGGCTTCGGTCCATTCAATGTTTTGTCCTGACCGGGGGGCACTTATAATGCTATGAGAACCGAAGTATGTAATTGGTGCTTTTTCTTATATTATATCTCAATTTCCTAAAACATAATGGTAAAGTTTCTTGAAATAATTTGCAGTCAGCGCGTTTTTTTGTAAATTAATCCTCGCGGTTACACTCCGCTAAATTTTAGCAGTCCCACTAAAACATGATAAAGCACGCTCAGACGGTCACTATTCTTTTTTGTCGCACCGTTGACGGAATATTATACTTTTCAAATACCTGCTGTAACTTATATAAATAAATAAGAAACATATTTATGTAGTGTATAATATTAATTCATATTTCAAGGAAGCAATTGTATAACAAGTATTTGAATGATTTCACACAAGTTGACAGATTTTATAATAGCGAAGGCAAACTTTGTAACATATATATGATACATGAATATGCAGATACCATTGTTAAAGTTGATTACTAAAATACAAACTTAAAGTGATAAGTGGACATGGGTAACAATATTAACTGTTTATATTATGTGTTTATATTATATCATATTTATATATAGACGGCACACGTGTGACGGAGGTTTGCACGAATACTGTAAATACCTGCATTGATGACTATGCCAAGTGTAATGGAAGCGTGTGTGATTGTATGGCTGGATATGCTTGGAATGGCACACGATGTGGTAAAGCTTATAATATACAGACCCTTCTCTACTTAAATCTTCTAAGGGATTTTTTTCTCGGATAAAATTCGAAACTGTCTAACTGCTTTGTTTCATAAAGAGATTTGAATATCAATTTATATATAAAAGAAACAGTAATGAGTCTGCGTGGATTTGCAAGCTGTGTTTGCTTTTAACTTCTGATAAAGACAACTTAAAATTGCTGCTTACATTCTAACGGTAGATATTTGAATATCATTAATGACTGCATCAAAACTAATTGAACACAGAGAAAAGGAAAGCATTTTTTACCTTCTATATATACTCGAATTTTGTTTATCTCCAAGTAAAACGCCCGATCCTTAAAATTCGAGATACCACAATTCAACTGTATTAAATGAAATTCAAAAATAAGATTTTTATTGTGATTGTAGCAAACACTTTTTAATTCTTATATTCTGAATAAATCTTTTAAGACTGACTGAAAATGCTATGTTTATTTTAAGACTTTACAATAGATGTATAATAACATACATTATAGAACGATAAACTATCTAAACTTGTATTAATATAGTTGGACAGGGGGAATGCGACCCTTGTGATGAATCAACGCTAGCGTGTTCCTCGCCATACGAATGTAACACTGACAGATATCGATGCGAATGTCCGTCTGACAAAGTCCAAGTCGGAAGTGAATGTGGTAAGATAATCAGTAGATAGTATCCTACCATTACCAATATATAGAAAACTTATGAGATCATATTTGTCAACTTTCAACACCGAAGATGTAGATTATGACTTTAAAACAGAAATGAAATTTTGAATATAACAATTCCGAACCCATGTTTATTGAGGGCGGCGTCCATGACCAAGTGATTAAAGTCGTTGACTTCAATGCAGTAGATTTTAATCCTTCCGGGGACTTTGGATCTTCTATTTGAGGGTCGTATCTACTTACGTGCGCATTCGTGCCAGAAATAATACACGGAGGGGCACCTGATGTCTTCCTCCACCAGTGACCTATACTGTGTGTGCGACATAAAACCCAACAAAAAGTGTTTATGATATCCATGCAACTGTTTTGAATGATCAGTATTAAATTCTCTAGGATAGAACCTCAAAAACAAGCATATCATATGTTTGTAGACATCTCAGATATATTATGGCTACACAGTGTTGAAATGACTTCTGTCCATTTTAAAAATATACGTAAATAAAAAGACTTCTCAATGACTAACAATCAAAATCCTTTCACCACTACATTTGTTGACTGGATTTGTCTTGATTTGAAGCTAGGACTGACGGTTGTATTCTTAAGGGATTTTAACATCACAATACTTAAGGGTAAACTACATCACTAACCAGATTGCAAAACTTTGCAAGCTGGGCTAGTTCTACTCAACCCACTGTGGGTGCTCACATTCAATAAATAGATTAAAAAAAAATGAACGTTTTAATTAATATAAGTCTGTTGATTTAAAGTATTCTTTGATGAAATGTTTCAACAATGTTCTTTTTTTTAGTTGGAAGATATGTAACAGAGACATGTAGTACCACCGTTGATACATGTGTTGACGACAACGCTGAATGTAATGGTACAATCTGCAATTGTGTTGCAGGTTACCACTGGAATGGCACTCTGTGTGGTAAGTCAATAAAATAAGGTTTTAACAATGATTTAGTGAAAGGTTTATATGAAGTGTTTATCGATAATATTTGCCTGTATAATAAAGGCTCAACTTCTTTTTGTATAAGGTCAATTACTGTGAAAGTTGGTTGTCTGGAATTGCCTATATGTTTTGTTTCGTATATTGATTGTGTAAGCAGTTATTAACTACGCACATCATATAAATATCGGTTTTTCTGAAAGCCCATATGGATTGTTTATTTCTTTACGTTTTTAAATATATAAAGACTTTAAGTTCCAGTTGTTAAATTTAAAACATACAGGCACGCTGCATAGTAGTTTTTGGAAATACAAAGTGGTTTATATGGAAAGAACTCATAGTTGTGCCTCAGAGTGTTTGTGTTGTTTTCGTCGCGTCATATCAAAATTCGTGACAGATGGAAAAAGTTTATCCTTTTTCTATGCGCTCTTCAAGACGCATTTCTGTAACTGCTATTGAAGATTTTGAAATATATAATTATAATAAAAAAGGACTCAATGCGGCCTAGAACTTGTTTTACAACAAATTCTTCATTTACAGTTGGAACATCAATATGTGCCCCTTGTGACGCCTCGACAATTGATTGTGATGATGGATTGGTTTGTAGTACAGCAACATATAGATGTTCATGTCCAGATGATAGAGTCCAAATAGGAGACCAATGCTGTCAGAGTCATTTTACGATATTTTGAATAACTTTTCTTTTTATAAAGTCTACAATAAAATGATGAATATCAATCTTTAAGAATATTGCAATTTAAATTTCCATAATTTGTGCCAGTGTAGTTCACATTAAACGTTTCTTATTGAATGTTGTTATGCTCTTATCAAAGTTATGAAACTGTCTGTATCGTGTTGTACACACAATTTTAGATTTATACTCTGTATTATTTAATACATTCATGAAAACGTACACTAATGGACCAGGTGCAGTTGATATAGTATATGAAACATCTATAATGTTATTTTGTATGTGTTTTATATACATTATGTAAATAGTGTAAATACATGTTTTTATTTGAAAAAGAAAGAGAGAGAAAATTAATTGTTACATAATTTGGTTTTATTAACTAATAAGCTAAGTCTGTCATCTTTTAATTTGATTTAAGAAAAAGTGATAAGCTTCTCTCTTCGGTATAAAGCCAGGCCATCCTCTACATCCATTGACTATGACCAGGCTTTATAATGTTTGAAGCTTTAAATATTTAATTCGATATTGAAATTTATGAAACTTTAAATGGATTGTTTCAAATTCAAAGCAGGATAAATTGTTTTTCCCCTTATTGTTAGATAGAAGTTTGGTAATAACAGTTTTGCTTTTTAAGATGGGACATTGATCGGAGAGCCGTGCACATCGTCATTGTCAACATGTACGGACAATAATGCTGGTTGTAACGGAACCGTTTGTGACTGTCTATCAGGCTTCGCGCATAATGGATCTATCTGTGGTAATGTTTTTTTTTCTGATTTAGAAAATTGAAATATACCTTCTTCATCCGTATTTAAATATCATAGATGAAACAACAAGTTAAAATAATCTCTTTTTAAAAACTGCAGATATTTAGATTCATTTTTAATAGTAAATATGTTGGCTATGAAACAAATAAATACAATTAAGCTGGTATTAGGCACATCATGCAATCAAGTAAATTACCGTGTACATGAGTGCAAATGTGCAAAAAATAGTTTCGAGGTAGAAAAATAGGGATACAAAGTTCAGTTATGTATTACACAGAATGTTAAGAATTTACATGAACTGTCAATATCATTATTTTCTAACTTTTAATACAGTTTTCTAAAGCGAGATGTTTAAAGCTTTGTTTGCTCATATGTGGAAGGCATGTTGCTCTTAGTTAAATATCCTAGTTCAATATATAAAATAGCTTGAAAATAAGTTACCATTCCTGTATTCAACAAGTATTCACGTGATTTACATGCTTTCTTCATTATTATTTGTGTTTGTTAGTTAAAATATGATAATTTGGCTTTTGTACAAAATCTTCATTGGGTTTTTTTCTCATTTCAAATTGATTTGCAGGCGCTGTATAAGATTATCTGAAATGATTCTTACATGTAAGTCCGGATTATCTTTTCTGAGAATACTATAAAATTAATTCTCAAAAGTTAAATTGTTACTTCTTCTTAATATTATAGTTGGAGCTGACCTCTGTGACCCGTGTGATACCACCTGCCAGTCTCCATATGTTTGCAGCTCAAGTACCTACAGATGTGAATGTCCGCCAGATGAAGTTCAGATATCGGACAGCTGCTGTAAGTCTTTAATTAATGTCCTTCGTTGGTTTTTTTTTCTTAATTAGTTTTTTTTTCCATATATAATATTTTGTCTGGAGCAGAACTTGAAAAAATGCTTGTGATATAGACTTTAAACTCCAAGAGTGATGGATGTCTTTGAGGATGAAATATTACTTAGGAAATATAACTTTACCTTACATAATTTATGATTTATTGCCTTTTGTTATTTTCCATGCTTTTATTTTTGTCTGGAACCTAATCCGAAAATTGTTTTGGATATCTGTTTAAAACGTATTTGATTGATCGATGTCATTTTGGAGGTGTAAATTGACAAGAGTGATGACGGCGGTGGATTTGACTGTGTGCGACTGCTTCTTGTTTGATATAATTCCGGCACTTTGTAATATTTATATTTCTCTTCATCGTACTTAAAATATTATTTTCTGTTATTAAATATATGCATTATGTTTGTTACTTTTTCTTCTTATATATCATATTTTGACCGATCTAACGTCACAAAAACAACATTCTTCTCTGATTACTAATCGTTTTGTTTCATACATTTTGAAATAAGATGGTACCCACGTCGGTGATGCATGTACTACAAGCCTGAATACATGTATTGACGATTATGCGGAATGTAACGGCACTATTTGTAATTGTATTGCTGGCTATAACTGGAACGGGTCCAGATGCAGTAAGTAATGAAAATTGTACATTTTATTTTGTTTTTTCTTGAATAAGTGGTATAAGACTCTTATTTGGTCCGACAGAAAATGGAACGTCACGGACTATACCTGATGACCTTTGTATTGTCTTATACCGCTTCAACGTTTTAAAAATGATTTTGACGTACACAAAATAATTTTCATATATATAACTTTAAAAAAATCAATAAAGCTTAAAAAATAATCCCTTTCATGAAAACCTTTGTGTGATGCTATTTTAACTTACTAATTTGTAAATAATTAAACAGATGGGAACAGCCTGTGTGACCCATGTGACCCAAGCAGTTCCACGTGTTCACCAGATCTAGAATGCAGCGCCACAACCTACAGATGTGAATGCCCATCTGGCCAAGTACAGATTGGTGACGAGTGCTGTAAATATTTATTACGTTACCCTTTCTTACAAATCATCTGAGCAGCTAAAATTTTGACAAAATAATCAAGTAGTCAAATACTGTATTATTATCAGTTCACTTCTTTAAAGAATCAACAAACAATTCAATAAATTTGCAGACAATACGACAAGTATTTGCTTTACTTTCCTTTAAATTAAATGCATGTGCGAATCATTGAATTATAAATGATATATGTAAGCACATATATTTTCATTGATCAATTCATCAGATTTTATGTATCTCCAGACATGCATCCTACAATTCAGACGTTATGTCTTTGACATCGTTTATTAATAAAAAAAATCCACTTTTGTTGAGATATCCTTGAATAAATTTGAAATTAATCAGCCTGTTTGCATATCAAGTATTTGGTGTTAAAAACAACAGAATGGAGTTTACCTAGTGGCCGGGCCCATTAATTGTCGCAGTCTTGATATGAAAGTGTTCGCTATGTTTCCCCTAACTTTATATCATATGAACGAACAGCATGGATCCTATCCTGCTTGAATAAGGTAAAACCCGATATTTTTTTTGCAATTTAGTTCTACTTAGTGCCCTTTAAATTGTTGTTTTTAACAAGGGTTTGACCTGAACTTTTAATAAAATAAAGTTATACCTTTAATAATATTATTATAGGAAAATAGACTTAATATAAGAACTTGATGTTATGGAAAAATAGAAAGAACACTGAATATTTGTGTAACACTACATTTTTAGTTCCTTTTTCTTGTTGGCGCACCAACACAATTTAGGTAATTCGGCGCCGGAATAGGAAAGATGATCTACATAATCTATGTCAATACCTACAAAGGTTTTATTTTTGTTACAGATGGCACCTTAGTAACTGAGCCATGCACACTTGTTGTTGACACGTGTATAGATGATAACGCTATCTGTAACGGAACTGTATGTGACTGTGAGGACGGGTACTCATGGAATGGTACCCAGTGTAGTAAGTTTCATTTCTTACCTGCTAACATTGTACTCAATTGTTTAATAATTTTACTAATTTTGAATAAGTAAAACAGTTATATATTTTTCCTGAAAAGAGTAGCAATTCGTTTGATAAAATGGTACCCAGCCCGTTAAAGTAGTATCACTTGTGTTTTATAATCTAGATTATTTGCTTATTTTGAATTTTTACAATTTTAGATAAAAATGTTCTTAATCCACTTAATATGTGTAGTTGGATAAGCTCATGTTAGCATGCGAGGCTACTCTTGATTAACAGGTGGGATGGGGCGTCCGTGGCCGAGTGGTTAGGGTCGTTGACTTCAAACCTCTTGCCCCTTAACGCTGTTAGTTCGGATCCCGACAGGAACTTTGGATTATTTTATATAAAAAAGCTACCCACCTAGATTACGGAATGTCACGGTTCTACTCAGGTGTCCGTTCGTGCCTGAAATAAGTACAGAGAGGCACCTGAGGTCTTCTTCCGCCAGTAAAGCTGGAACGTCGCCTTTTGACTGTTGGTGCGACTTAATACCCAAACGAAACACAAAAAGAACAAACAGACAGGAATGTGTTTTTAACAATATTTGTTACAACCAAAAAATGTGTCATTTTAAATTTAAAAAGTTACGTGTAGTTTTAAATTAAAACAAAATATTAATGATAATGATTCTTCTCTAATCACTAGATGGCCAGAATCTGTGTGACCCATGTGATCCCTCAAACCCGACATGTAGTTCAGAACTCACCTGCAGCTCGGACACATATAGATGTGAATGTTTGACAAACCAAGTTCAAGTCGGAGATAATTGCTGTATGTATTAAAAATATGTTAACATATACTCGTACTGTCTCGTTTTTTTCTTTTAATATTTTATTTGAATTAAAAGGACCGTTTTTGCATCGCCTGGTGTTCTTAATTATAATATTATATGATATGATATGATATGATATTTGATATGATATGATATGATATATGATACGATACTATACGATATATTGTAATATGATATAATATAATTTTATGATATAATTATATTATATGATATAACATGATATGAAATGACGTTATTCATGTATATCATACAAACTAGATTGTATCATACGAGGGATGTTCGAAATATATTCTTATTTCTATCTGGAGACTTCAAATTTCAAGTTAGCTCAAAAGTGTTCATTTCATGCCCTCGAAGTACTCCCCGTGGCTAGAAATGCAAAGTTTCAGCCTACTTGAAGGCGTCACGGTACGCTGATTTGGGCACAGTAATAAGGTACTGATGAATCGCAGATCCAAGTGCCTGACGGGACTTGTATTTCCGTCCGGCAAGGAAGGATTTCAATTTCGGAAACAAAAATAAATCACATGGGGCAAGGTCTGGAGAATACGGGGGTGAGGCAAAACAGTTACTTTTTCTTTTTTCAAAAACGCCGAAACTATTGCGGAGGTATGAGCGGGGGCATTGTCATGTAGAAGACGGATATGCTTAAAACCAGTGACAGGGCGTCGTTTCTTATAATACTTTTTCAGTTTCAAAAGGACTACGTCTTCGTAGTACTTCTCAGTGATACTTTGGCCTTTTTCACCGACACTTTTATTGCAACTCCTTCACCAGAGAAGAAAATTGCATACAAAACCTTCTTTGCACTCAAAGACCGTTTGATAATTATTGGGCGTTTGTTATGTTTAGTGGCCCAGATTTTGTTGCTTCTGATGGGCTCATAATAATTGACCCAAGTTTCATCACCTGTGACGACATTGGCAAACTGTTTTTTTTGTCATAATTTGGAAACATTTGAAGCAGTTTTTGCCCACCTTAAGCCTCTTTTGCTCATCGGTCAACAGATGTGGCACCCATCTAGACACTTTCAAATGCTTCTTCAAACTAAAGTGAAACGTTTTGATATCATACCTTTTGCAATATCAAACTATGAATCTGGCATCTCCTTTTTGGCCTTTATATTTGAAACCAATTTCTTATAAAGTAAAAATGTGTCCGAGTTAAATCGTATACATAAAATGCACGGTGCGTTAACTGGAGTGCAGGTAATAGTTACCTGCACTCCAGAGTATGCCCATTGATTGGCTCATTTTTGCTGGGGTTCACTTATTGTGACGGCAGAGAAAGGGAAAGCGACAGAAAAGTCATATTTAGATGCTCGTTCATTTGTTACTTTTCTCCGGGGTTTCATATTGTGACAACAGGAAAGGTGTTTTTATTTTTGACTTTGATACAAAAGAGAAAGAACAACAAAAGAATTGGCAATCTGATTAATACTTGGGGGCTACGCCCCCTCGTACAAAAATCAGATAGCGTCGTGTTTCGATGCTCTTTCTATTACTTAATTTATTTGATAGCAGTGGTTTGTTTTTTATTGCAGTTAACTTATTTTAGCAACATTTAACACCTTATTAATTTTGGCCTTACTTGTAATCTGTTGTTACTGAAAATATACATATAATATGTATCAATCAATATCTTTTATATATATTGAATTAACTGTTGGAATAATATTTCATAAAATTGCTCAAATGTGATTATTTCGGTTTAAATAGGATAATGTTATTAAAACGTTTCAGTTCAAAATCTTTGAATATTAACACATACCCTGTTACAGTTTAGCCTGGTCAGACGATCTGTTAGTTGACCAGCTTCAAAGTTTCATCTTCGCGTCACCAGTATTGATAATGGATAGTTCTAAATACGAAAGCTTGACAAGTTCATGTAAAGACAAGTCCATTTGAAAAAATCATCCGGTTAAAAAAATACCATGCTATAATTTTAATTGACATTATTGGATGTTAATTCAGTTTCATCATTTCGTAATTTCAGACGGAACACGTGTCGGTGAGCCGTGCACAACAACACCTGACACGTGCATTGATGACAATGCTGGATGCAATGGTACAGTTTGTGATTGTCTACAGGGCTACAAATTTAATGGAACATTTTGTGGTACGCAGTTTATTTAGAACGTTTAATAACTGTAAAAGAAAATTATTGTTATAGAATAGAAAACAACGGTAAACTAACGTCTAGAGAACCATGTTCAAAATCATAGTTTACAGAAAAGAAAAAAAAGAGTTGAAGGTGGCTAGTTGAAGAAGGGGTTACGCTGTTTTTATAATTCCATGTGACACTTTTTGTGAGAATTAATTTCATCTCTTAATTTTATGAAAACGTGTTAGAGATTGCTTAAAGACCGGGAAATCTTTCCGAGTGCCCACCCGGCTTTAAAACACATGACAGAAGACGCTCCTGATGTCTCCGTCAATCTGCCAGAGAAAACACGCTTTGACTAAAATCATACGAAATAAAGATATCAATAAAACAAAAAGAAAATTTAAACATTAGTACAGGGTCATAAACACACTTATTATAAAATTGTTCTCTTTTGTTTTCCAAAGTTGGCCAGCATCTATGCGATCTATGTGATTCTGCGACGCTTTTGTGCGATTCCAACCTTGTGTGCAGCAGCGAAACATACAAATGTGAATGTCCGACCGATGAAGTACAGATCGGAGATGATTGCTGTAATTGGTTATCTTATCTTAATACAAACACTACTTCTTATCTTAGTACAATCACCACTTTGTTAAGACACGCGTATTTAACTGTTGCATGTATTGATTTTTCTATTTTTTTGTATTCTAAAACAAACGTATTTGAGTATGCGTAACCCAGAGTGTCTGTACACTTAATTAAATTTTTGTTGACTTGTAAAATTAATGCTTATTGAAGATAATGACTTAATGTGTAACGATCATAATATCATTTTATTCATTGTTATTTTTATCATTATTATTTTTACTTTTATCATCATCATCATCATTATCATCATATCATTTTATCATCATAAAATCATCATCATCATCTTCTTCTTCATCATATCATCATCATTTTATGTATTAACACTATTTAATTAATACATGTATAACAACAATATTATTCATCATTGGGGGAATGCTATTTGTACTGTTCATTATCACATTATCATAATCTATTTTATTGTTTGTATATGTTATTATTATAATAATAATAGTATTATTATTACATGTACATTGAAGAAAGAATAAACCGTTCCCTTCTTGTACATCCAAGTGATTTATATACACATTGACTTCTGCTTTTAGATGGAACACGTGTAGGTGAAGCGTGTACAACTGTAACTGACACGTGTACAGACGATAATGCTGAATGTAATGGAACCGTGTGCACGTGCGTGACTGGCTTTATCTGGAATGGTTCTTTGTGTGGTCAGTATTTTCATATTTAAAAAGGGCAGATATTTTTGTGCACAGAAAATGCCAAATACGCCTATTAATATGCAATTAAGAACATGCATTGTGTCGAAAGATGTAAGATACTAATAAAGGTGCTTTGTTCTTTTGCTAAACACACATTTTCATTATCAGTGTCTTACAAAATAACTTAAACGGATAACTTACTTAAATAAATGACACCTTGTATATTGAATCATTTTCAGTGCTACAAGAGAGATTCTCCAGAACGCGGCAATTATGGGCTTCCCCATTTAATTCCGGGCGACAAATCATTTTTTTACAATTACAACTTGGTTAATGTATCGATATCAACCGCACCCATTTAATTCCGGGCGACAACACATTTTTTACAGTTACAACTTTTTGGAAAGATATTAAATCGAGACTAGTTTTCACTCTGAGTGGTAATGTTTGCTTAACTTGTGTCATTATGATAAACAAAACAATAGACATTTTTTCACAATCGGGACTGATACTGATGTTTTGAACTGAATGAAACGGTGAATTTATGATGTACGCTAATCATTGCATTAAATAAAAAAGGCATATTCATGTTAATAATGATTCATCTTTTTTTCTTAAACAGTCGGGCCTGGTCTATGTGATCCATGTGACCCTGCCACTCCGTCATGTGGTAGCGGTCTCGTGTGCAGCGGTACCACATACAGGTGTGAATGCCCGTCTGATGAGGTGCAGATAACAGATGGCTGCTGTAAGTATCCAGAACATATGTTGTTTGAATTAAAGCTTATACTTGGTTTGGTTTAGTTTTTGTGTTTTTTCGCCGACTTTTACACATTTTGTCATATCTCGGCTTTCGATTAAGAATTCACTGTTGTTGTTTTAGACGGTACTGATATAGGAGATGATTGTCTGACAACATTGACTACATGTGTTGACGATAACGCTGAGTGCTCTTCTGGAACTTGTTCTTGTTCATCACCTTTCACATTTAATGCTACCCTTGGAATATGCGGTAAGATGTTTGATTCTAATCAATATTAACCAGTAATGTTACCCTAGGAATACATGTATATGTGTTAAAAATAAGTGTTTGCTCTTCATAAGCGACTTAAAATGCAATTTTTGAAATATGCGATTAAGTTGTTTTTTCTAGTCGCGATTTATTACGTCTAAGTATACTCTCATAATGCATTATTAATCTTATATTCACAACAACAACAACAACAACAACAACAACAACAACAGTAACAACAGGAACGGGACACAATGGAACGACTCTAATGTTTTAGTCAAGGGAAAATAATATTTATCTAATTGGAAATTTGATTTGAAGAGTTGTCTCCATTCCTTTATCTATAACTTTAAATATTTTACGGTGATTAATATTGCAAAATGAGTCGTTTATCGCACACATAGATTAATAACTGTTCTTAAAATCTTAATACTTTTTTCTCATGAATGCAGCTTTATGGCACAACACAAAAAAGATACAACTTTTCTCAATATATATTAAGAATTTACTTATGTTGTTTTAGACGGTACTGATATAGGAGATGATTGTCTGACAACATTGACAACATGTGTTGACGATAACGCAGAGTGCTCTTCTGGAACCTGTTCTTGCTCATCACCTTTCACCTTTAATGCTACTCTTGGAATATGTGGTAAGATATTTGATTCTAACCATTATTAACCAGTAATTTTACCATAGGAATGAATACATATATGTGTTAAAAAATAAATGTTTGCCTTTCATTAGTGACTAATGATGCAATCTTTAAAATATGCAGTAAAATAGTTGATTTTCTCGTCACGGTTTATAACATCTAATTATACCATAGTAGTACAAAAAAAGGATTAAATATTTACTTTTTTAAGAGAAGGACAGAAACAATATTTCACACCATAAAGGATGCATTGGAACGCATCTAATGTTTTTTTAGTCAAGGGAAAGTAATAAATTTTCCATTTGAAAGTTTGATTTGAAGAGTTGTCTCCAGTCCTTTATTTATAACTTTAAATATTTTACGGATATTTTTCGTAAGAATCTCCATAAGTTTTTACATAAATGTTCTGAAGTCTAGTCATATATGCCCATATAATGTTATACTTGGCTATCAATAATTTACAAAAGTGAAAGCAAGCACCAATAAGCAGTATTACGAAGCACCTTCTGTTTGTATCAAGATATCCTATTGTTTTCACAAAGCAAAAGAGAAAAATGCAGTTAATGCAATATGGCAAAAAGGATAACAAACCCCAATAAATACCCACATGATATGTCGATTTATGTGCGGATATATCGTTATAAGACCAAAGCTGCTTTCGCCTTTTTCAGGTACACAGATTTCTAGTACATTTTCAGTCTCTTTAGAGGCTGGTTTCCACTATGACGTCATAATATGGGAATGACCAAAATGGCGGCTTGATTCAATGTTTTTTATAGTGTGTAAACGACTCGATTTGTTTAACTTCAAACAAAACGACAGAAACAGCAACAACAACAAACACGGTGTAGTTTTACTCGTTTTGTTTTATTGTTTCAGTTGGTCCTAACTTAGACGATCCATGTGATAGTGATTCATGTGGCACGGGATTGACATGTGGAACAACTAGTCAGAGATGTGAATGTGAAACTCCACGTGTCCAAATTGACAACGTCTGTTGTAAGACAGATATTATTTTCATCTATTAACATCTTTTAAATATTCATCTTTATTTAAGATTTAACTTTTTTGACATTTCCTTTTAACTCACCGTTAGCATAACGTTCTCAAGTTGAGTAATTGTGATGACTTAACGTGCGTCATCCAGCGTCCGTCTGTCCGCACTTTAGGGCTACCTTACTGTAAACCTAACAAGAGAGAACAATAGAGTTCATTCCGTAATAAAAGAATAAGAATTTACCAATTTTGAAGGGCTATAGATTAGTTGGCAAGGTCTAGTAGACTCTCCTGTTACTTGGTTCAAAACTGGCACCTCCCTGGGGTCACGAAATTTTCTTTAATGTATTTAGTAAACACTTCTCTTTATAGATATTGACCTAGTGACATTTTTATGCACCCATTGAAATATATATTCTTCCAAACACACGTCTACTCTTTCATGTCCGATCAATAACTTGTGAAGAATTAAGCTGTTGTTGCTATATCTAATAGGCCGTTGTGGATGTATCTACGTACGACCAGTAGATAACCCAAATTCACCATATCTGCTTTTAATTTAAATTTAGACACATGTGAGCGATATAAGGACCGTAATTGTCCCTTCTTTCAATGTCGTTATGTGTTTCCCTAATATTAATATCATTATGTTTTTACTGCTCAATATGTCCCGTAATATCACCAGTTAACAACTTAATATTTTTTTCAGATGGTACACGTGTCACAGAATCCTGTACAGTCAATCATGACACATGCATTGACGATAACGCAGAATGTTTAGCTGGTGTATGCACGTGTTTAACTGGGTACTCCTGGAATGGTCTCATTTGTGGTAATGAATTATACTATATTTAACATTAACCCTATTTGAACAGGAACTGACAATCATTTGTCACCAGTATAAAGTTAGGCAAGTATGCACATCCGTAAAGTTTGACAAGGTCCCATATTGTCGGTAGCTCTTGTTTTTTAAATATTTCATTGAACTCCCGTTTAATTTAGACAGGACTATTCAAAATTGAAAGCAAGTCTAACCAGTCACAAAAATACAATAAATAAAGGGTTAAACTAATTTATTTGAAGTTCATTAAAGTTGTTAAATATTTAATCACTTTCCGTAACTTGCAAATAGCGCGTCTGTGGTCAAGGGATTAAAGACAAATTAAAGGTATCACGTTGTATACATGTATAAATTCTTTATGTGTTGGGCTTATGCAGTTTTCATGCTTCATCATTATTAGAATCACTAATCCAGGATGACCGGAAGAATGTAACAACACCGAGGTTAAAGTTAATGTTGATTGCATTTAAACTTTTAAATCAATATAGATATATTTGTAAACTGTTTAACATTTCCTTTCCATTTTATTTCGATAAACTTGTTAAGACATTAAACAGAGGCCATAAAGAATAATATCAAGAGATTAAAGATTGGAATGTTATATTCATCTGGATATGTTTTTTTTTCAGAAGTTTGCTCATATTGATAAAAATAACTTTTCAATAAGTCCCTTATGAAACTTGCATATGTGTTCCCCACCAAATACCTTTGCTTTGAGTTATTTTAGAAAGACACGTTATAAATAAGTGTTTGTATATATGCTTGACGATGGAATTACGTGACCAAGTTGTTATAGTCGTTTAAAGTACTAGTTCCTCGCTGTTGCGGGTTTCAATGCCACCAGGGGCTATGTATTTTTTCATTTTATGAAGCTATTCAGAAGGCGTCCGGAACGTCGGTGGTTCTACTTAGTTGCCCACTCGTGTGCTCAAAGTGGCACCTGAAATCTTCCTTCATAAATAAAGCTAGAAAGTCGCCATATCATCTTTACTGTGTTGATGCGACGTTAAACAATGATTTTGCGGGAAAAAATAAATAAAAATTTGTTTCAGTTGGAAGCGAAATTGATGACCCGTGTGATTCTAGTTCTTGTGGAGATGGTCTCGTTTGTGGACCTACGAACCGATGCGAATGTGAAAGCCCTCGAGTACAAGTGAACAATTTGTGTTGTAAGTACTTAATAAAAAAAATTAAATAATAAAGATAGTTTTATCTGCATCGAGTATGATTATCAGAGCACTTATTTATCCGAAAACTAGAATGTCAGATCATATATGCACCGGAACACGAAAATCCAAATATGTGTATTTGGACGCACAACCGCCCGAACATTTGCTTAACTAAAAACACGAGTAACAAAATATTTAATTATACGACTCCAGATTATACGAACACAATGGTTTACGTGATGTCAAAACCCCAATATGCCTCAGGAATGCTTTCGTTTTGTTTTATTTCTCAAAACCTGTTTATATTTTGGTACCTTGTTACAATTTCCTAAAATATACTCCGTTTCTATATACATAATCTATCTTTTGCGTCTTGAGCTGTGTTGGCAATTGGTATACGTGTACAAAAGTATGGACTTCTGAGTCATGATGTATCTTTAACGGGTGTAAACTTGAAAATCATTCATAGATACTTGTAAAATTGCAATCTTGAATTGAAACGGTGTTAGGTCATTCAAGAAAAATAATGAAATGGCATTATTTATTCATCAAAATCTTAAATATTTTATGAAAGACGTATCTTTGAGAAATGTATGTAATTTTTTACAAAGGAAGGAAAATAAGTTTGAACTAGCGCAGATAGTTTTCTTAAATAAAAAGTGAAGGTCAATTTTCTACATTTGGAGTTGTCTCTCCTGTAAATGAATTTTTATGTGGAACTGATTTGATATTTATATGTTTGAATCTTTAAAAAAATTGTATCCCCATACGAAATATCAGTTGACTTTTACGAAACTCTGAAAATACCAATAAGCTTTAAACAGAATAACCTTGTCTATTGTGGGTTACTTTTCAGACTAAAGATATTTGGTTGTCTTTCATTTGTAACTTACCGATCTAGCTTACCGAAGGTTGGTGGTTCTACTCGGTAGTCCGCTCGTGTCTGAACCGGTGCAAGTAGGGGCACTCTAGGTCGCCCCCAACAGTCGCCATATGGTGTGAATTAAAATCCAACTAACTATGTTAAAGTAAGAGGAGCGAATATGGGTCGCGGTCGTTTATGTATTTGTTGTTGTTGTTTTTGATAGGAAATGAAAATTTATGTAACTACGTATGTGTTTTGTAGATGAATTACTTAAAGTTTATCTTATTACCGTTGTGAATATCTTTTTTGTACTGCTGTTCAGATGAAAGATTTCGTTTTCAGATGCTTTGATTTGTGATAATTGTACTACCAACAGCGATTGCCTTGGAACAAACCAAATTTGTTTGAACTATACATGTCAGTGTGACACCAACTATTATTTAGATAATTGTAGCATCTGCCAACCAAGTGAGACATTTATGAATATATCATTATGAAACGATCCTGTGTTAAGACAATAGTTATATTATTAGTTATATTGTTTAGAAAATGGATGCATTCAAACAAACGATAAACCGATTTTCAAACAACGGATAAAAATTGCTAAATTGTTTTCTTACAAAAATTCTATGCACAACATTTAATGGGGATTGCACAGTGATTTTTGTATTTGTTAACACTATTTTTTTAATTTTAACGACCCAATATCTTGTCCCTTTAACAGAAGGAATATTTCTTACCGCATATATTTGGATTTCAGTGGTCTAATTATTTTTTGAATTTATACATTTTTAGATTCTTTTTAGTTTGGGGGGTGGGGGCAGGTGTTAAAGGACGGAGGGGCCTTTAACATTTAACCTTTAATTTACTCATTTTAATACATCACTGTTTTGCAGAGGTCAGTAATGGTCAGTCATGTTTAGCAGACGAGGAATGTCTTTCCGGTATTTGCGCCTGTAACGAGTGTGTAGCCTCAGTTGACGATGATTGCTGTGAAGGTTGAACATAACTATTGAGTTTCATAGTTTCATTTTATCCTATTAAGAAATTTTATTCACATTTTGAGAAATAAAAGATTCATTTTAGTTTTATCATTCACTTCATCAGTACCGTGCCATGTAAATTATAACATTAGAATATGTTTTTCCATTTCTGAACAGAAAATATAGAGAACATTAAGTGAACTTCTTGAGTTTAAATTTTCATTAAATAAACTTTGTTTTCAAAAGTTAAAATTATTGTAAAAATATCAAAAAATAGTGTTTTATTAATTTCAGGCTTTTTAATTGGCTTAATATTCTAAATCATTGTACTGATTTGTGCCATGTAATCACGCGCCGCTTCTCCATTATATCGTCAAGTCGTGACTACATAACGTTCGTGTTACAAAATAAATTCAATATTTTTTTTTCGATTTTTCTGACATTTCAGCCCAGAGTATGCAAATGTTTATATTCTTTCAGTATACTGTATATGTGTATTCACGTAGAAAAGAGTGCATTTTTGCCGAAATTTCAATTCGCTTATTACATTTGTCTTTTGTGCCGGCTCGCCACGGCGAGCCGGTATTACGTTAGGATTTTACTAAGAAACAACCTAAAACTCCGAATCCATCCAAAAATTTAATCGAAGCTTGGCTTCCAGCTTTCTACAAAATTTATCTATCAGGGCTAGGATTCAAAATTATTTAGCCAATCAAATTTGATCTTACATAGCGTCAAAAAACCTTCAATTTTCACGCCATTTTTAAAAAGCAGCAAGTATTGTTTTGAGCGCAAAGATATAATGATGATTAAAATGTTTATTTTCATGGATTCTTTTCAATAAATCATATTTACACTGACTTTTGATTTAGCGATTTCACCAGTCCTGTTTTCTCTGTAGTAAGTTTTCGTTTGGTTAATTAACATAAACGACATCTGGTTCTGTGCATTTTTTTCGTTTTTCCGGTCATTTCTTTCCGGTATTTAGTGTATGTATTTATTGGCCGGAATCCGGGACGCCCGGGATCCGCGATCGTATAAGATATAGAGGAAAACACTAATAAACCATATTTGTGTTGATTATTGTCGTAATGAAAGGTCATTAAACGTTAAGTTTTTTTATTGTATGTAATGAACGTTAAATTAATTTAACTTAGGATAAAGATATATTAAGAGCTATTTATTAACAAAATCACAATAATTATAATTATATGCCTAATTAATTGGAAAAATCAAAGACTATATTCTTGAATTGGTCAAATCCCGGGATCCCTATATGTTTTAATAAGATCCCAGCTTTTCTGAAAACAATATTTTGAACCGGCCAATTCCTGGGATCTCTTTATATTTTAATACGATCCCCGCTTTTCTGAAAACTATATTCTTGAACTGGTCAATTTCCGGGATCCTATTTTTTAATAGGATCCCGGCTTTTCTGGCTGAATTGATTGACAATTTGTGTTTACTTTAGGACTTGTGTCTGTCACTCATTCCAATACTAAATAACATATTACAACTTAACTTCGTTTTAAGAGACATCTTTATGAATTCTACTTATCTATTTTTTTCTGGTCAAGGTCAACAAGCCATATAGTAAATGTGCACAGACATAGGGACTTCATTCTATCTGTTTACATACATCTTCATATATACTCATATTCCTCTTTGTTAAACTGAGAGAAATGGCTTCCATAACTTTATATGTCATTTTTATTTTGATGTTCGCTGAAGTCTCTTCAGCTAACAGAACTGTCATTTTAACATTTAAACACACCCCTGGAAAGAAATTACTAAGCGAGTCGCTACTAGCTTTTTTAAAAGCTAACCTTGTCCAGCTTAAATACAATTGTATTTCGGCTATAGTGAAATATATTTTGATAAACCGGGAAAGCATCAAAGCTTAATTTATTGTAATTTTCCATTGATACACAAACAGCATGTAATGAAATATCTTTACATTTTTTTGTCACGAGTATGTGTTTAGAAACCACTCCGTGATGAAACTTGAACTAGTTAATTAAAGTTAAAATGTTTAATCTTAAATTCATATAACGCCTTAATTATTTCAATTATAAAAACCGATTTATATTATGAAAATATCTAGATACTATTTAAAACGATAATATGAGTAAGGTTCCTCTAAAAAAATATCCCCTTCTAATGTTTTAGTTACAAACAGGTTTATATAACAATTCTGATAAAATTGCAAAATATGTTGTCAAAATTAATTGAAAATGAATACCATTTGACCTATGTTGACCACTATACATTATACAGAAATTGAAGATCAAAATATCTATGGCATTTTGCATGGCCAGCGGTACAATATTTAAATATAGTATGTCTCCAAAAAATACGAAAACCAGATTATATCTTGTGAATTCATAAGGCATGGATCACCTTTACGCAGTTATACTCTTGAATGAATAATGAATCTCTACTGATGAAGAATATCATTATATATTGAATTATTATTACGTTCTGTTTCAGATTGCGAGGATATCAGATCTGATATCACCATAGTTACTGACGCATCAGGCTCTCCAGGAACGTTTGCTGAAATTCTCGGATTTGCTAGTGCCCTTGTCAATGCATTCGTTGTGTCCCCTACCGATGTTCAAATTGGTGTTGTCGACTTTGCGGGCAGCGTAGACAATGGAGATTCATTCAATATGAATGTTGAAACAAATAACCTTGACGTAACATTTGAAATTGTAGTAAACAAGTAAGTTTAACACACTTCAGCACGATGTGCATAATTTATTTATTTCACCTCCATATAACTAAGCCTTTATGATAGTTATTAATGACAAGCTGTGTATGTGTGTGTGCAAATAATAAACCACACCGTGAGTAACAAAACATTTTAACCAATGTTGGTTTGAATTTTGCCCGAAACTTTCTTTTATGAAGTATGCATTACTCACTTGCGTCTAAAAAATCTTCTTGGAAATCTTTCTATTTGTGCTAAAATAGAAAACTTCTGTCATTTCAAAAAGATAGCAATTATAACCATCTTTGTTGATAAAAAGGCAACCTGTGGTGTTGAAGTAAAGTTCTTTCTTTTAATACTGCACGTTTGAATAATCGTGACGTTTATAAAATCTATATACACGGCTGCTGTCGATTTATGAAATAAAGTCAGTTTTCTTTCTAATAATGGTAGTTTGCAGTATGATATATAGTTTATATAGGGGCATATAACCAGTCAAAATTCTTTATAACTTAAAGTATGTATCTGCAGAGTGATACAATAATAAGATAGTTATCAGCAGTCAGGTGCAATCTGATTATTATCAGGTACTATATAACGCTACACATTAGGATCTGACGGTTACCAATATGTTGTAGCCTTCTCGTGACTTTTCAAACAGCCAATCAATCGGCGAGCTGTCACAATTTCGAAAGCAATGCTTTTTCTAATTTTAACCGCTGGAAAAACAATAATGAGTATGTAAATTTCACGATTTCGAGTGAACAAACAAGGATTATCCTCTGTAAGAATTTTGTTTTTGCAGGTCAACTGGCAAAACAACCTTGCCCATATAAATTGAGTTTACTCGTTTCAAATTACTTCAAACAATTTTTCTAACAAAAATCAACAGTTTGTTTTACTTCAACGGAAACGATGTTATGATACTTCTGCTAATGCCTTTTTTTAAAAATGGTTTGAGTGCATGGCTATAAAAAGTCTTCTCGGAAAATCAGAATCATAATGAATACGAAACATATACGGTGGTTATCAGATTTACATGTAAGAAATAAGTAGATCTTAGCTTCAGTCAGATTGCATTCAGGCGTACTCTTAAGTGTATTAAAGTGCGACGATTGATACTAATTTTGTACAAGTTAGATATTTATATTTCTATATTTTATAAAATTAAGTTACAATGGTGGAAGCAGAAGAACGGACCTTGGATTAGACAGAGCAAGATCATATTATGGCACTTCAGCCAATAGAGCTGGTGTTAATAATTTTGTCATACTTCTCACTGACGGATCAGCATCGGATAGTGGCGCTTTGACCACCTCTGCTAATTTGTTAAATGCCGTTTCGGATATGAAGGTATCACAACTTTTATAATCCTTTAAGCTGGAAAAGAAAAAGAAAAAAAAGAAAAACAAACAGAACAGAGCTTTTATTTTCTAATTGTACATAGTACATCATCATAAAACAAAATAATTTTCAAGTAACATACATTTTAGTGCAATTAATATAATGAAATCATTAATAAAGATATTACAAAGAAATCAATGATTGTCATACAAGTTTAGATGGTTGTCACTAAGCCTCGGTTTAGTGAGGAAGAACATATTTAAGAAGAAAAATCAAGACCAATAAGTTTGATAAACATCTTATTGTCAATGAGATAAAAAATAAATGTGAAAATACAACAAATAAATAAATAAATAGATAAATAAATAAATAATAAAAAATAATATCGTTAATTATGATGAAGTTGATGATGTTGATGATATTGATATAAATAAATAAATAAATAAATAAATAAATAAATAAAAACATATTGTTATTAAAATAACGATGATGATGAGTCTTATTTAGTTATCGAATGAACCATAACATGTATACAGGAGTGATTGTTTCTGTTATTTGTCTATTTACGATTGGTTGATTATGAACCAACACATTCACATAAATAGAAATATTGTGAATGTTAATTTTCACAAAAAAAAAAAAAAAAAAAAAAAACAAAAAAAAAAAAAACAATAAAAAACAAAACTGTGCAAGTGTGCTAATAAGTTAACGTTGTAGGTTAAATGTTAATTTTGCTTTCAGGTATTTGCCGTTGGGATCAACAATCTAGCACCGTTAAGCGAGCTTCAAACAGTTGCAACGGATAATACATGTGCCTTCCAAACTGCAACCACTACAACTCTGAATACTATCGTTCAAGAGATTCTTGACAACTCATGTAGGTTCTTTTTATGTTTTTGCATTACGAGTATTTTAGCAAATTAGGCTCCAAGCGGTTCTTAAAAAATGGGACCACTAATAATGTAAAAGCCGGCTTTATGGCTGGCTTGAGTTGTGTTTCAGAGGTCACATTAATAAAAGAAAAGAAAGTGAATATTCTGTTGTTTTTTTTTCATTCTTTTTACATTTTAAAATTTGACAAGTGAAATATGATCATTTTCATACCACAAGTATGTAAATAATTCCTGTATTTAAAGAAGAAGAAAAAAAGAATTTTCTGGTTAATTTACCTTTTTGTCTGTTTTGACCTTTCAATCTGAAAGACTTTTCTTTTAATTTGTGTACTGGTTGAATTTAGAAAAAAAAAGAAAATACGGAAAATGATAATACGCATTTTATTTCATCAATATTTTTCAATATTTCATTCATAAAAATATACTAAATATGTTTTTAGTTAAATTGTAGCTTGAATAAACATTGGACCAGACTATCCGTCTTATTGGAAATACTTGTTATTATAATACATGTATAAAGATAATACAATAACTTCAAAAGTATCCACTCAATGTCAAAGTATATCAAGTTGTTGAATTAAAAAAAAAAAGAATGATTCCAAATTACTTCTATGAAAAAAAATCAAAAATATCCTTAAAAGCAAATGTCGCATGCACGTAATCATTGGATGTCGGTTAAACACTTCTTAACAAAGGAGCTTTGTTCCGGAAAAAAATATTCTGTCAACGTACAGAATTCCTGCATGTAAGATGAAATCAACGGTTATCATATGGTTATAGTGAAATATTTTTGTCTCTGTAAGTTTCTTTTATTCTATGAAAATATTTCATAAGATATAGCTTTATATACCCTTTAAAGACACTAATGTGAGGATATAAATAATTTGTATTGCTCTTGAACATTGCTCATGTTTGTCTTTGTTTCTTTATTCCAGGCCTCGACGTATGAAGATATTTGTGAACTATTCCGAGACCAACATTATGGACAGAGACGCTTCATTGATAATTAATGTAATGTTTTAAAACAATTTAAATTAGTTTATTATTTGACTATCAGAAATATATATTTTGTTTAGAAATTAGTATTAATCATTATAAGAATTAATAGATCGAGACAATAAATGCATTCTGAAAATACAATCTTGAAGTGTTATTGTTTTTTTCTTTCCTGGGCGTGTTTTAATCGTCTCAGATTCCACTGTACTGAAATGTTTATAAAATTATATTTGTCACTATTTCTCCTTTTGATACCAATACCAAAATTCCAAAGAGAAAGTTGTTAACAATACTCTTGCAATGTTCAGTCTGATAATAAACATAATATGATTATATTATATAATACTAAATAAGTGATGTTCCAATACTTATGTAAAAGTATTGTTTTACCCTTTGCCTGCTGAATTTATGTAATAGATTTGTCTGGCTTTAAATCAAAATGTTGCAATGTTTATCAAAGTATTCGTTCAGATATCCCTGCTTCTCATAGTTATGCTGAGTGCATGACAAAAATTTTATTTGAAAAATGTCTTTATGTGTATATATTTTCCAAGAATAAGTTAAAACAAACCATTTATAATTCAAAATGGAAAACGAAAACAGAATAATTAATGATATTTTTCATATTTATATGTAAACGACAATATGATATAAGCATATCACCATATGAGCCGAGCCATGACAAAACCAACATAATGCGTTTCCGGCCAGCATGGATCCAGACCAGCCTGCGCATCCATGATCAGGATCCATGCTGTTCGCTTACAAACCCTATAACAAGTAGATAAAGTGATAGCGAACAGCATGGATCCTGATCAGACTGCGCAGATGCAAACCCATTATGTTGGTTTTGTCATGACATGGCTCATATATTTCAAACCTATATTAGTTTGATTAATTTGAGGCATACCCAAATGCATTATTGATGTAATTGTATTGTAATAGACGAATAACATCATGACATGTTTATGACAGCATGACAGGCGAATAGATTGAGTGAAATGCACTTTATAGAAGGAGCTGCAATATATCTTCCATTATGTTACCCATGAGATTCTGATGTATTCATACGCAAAAAGCCAGAGTTATCAATTGTCAATTGAATATTGGTTCTGATATTTATAGGCTATTTAACATTGAACTGTACTAATACCTAAATTACTTTGCATTTCAAATGTTCAAATGCTCATTACATATATCATTCGGACATTTTTCGGTAAACGGGTTTTATCATTGCGGGTACAAGATCTATTTTGCAAGAAAGAAAATATTAAAGGGAAATATATTGTGTGTTTCCGTAGTAAATTACGAAATAGATATTTGAAATATAGTAAAGGTTTTCATCTTATGTATGTATTTTAGAACTTTCAACTCATTTGATTTTTTAAACCGACAATGCTTCTGAAAGTAAAATGATCATGTCAGGTGTTTGATCACACAGAAAACCATTTAAAATCAAGTTTTAACAACTCTAATTTATCTGTAATCTGTATCAGAAGAAAATCATTCTTAGTATTTGGGATCACTCTTTAATACGTATTCCTGAACACTATCACAGGCATACCTATCTTGACGGAAAGAACACGGTGTTGGATATACTTACGTGGATATAAATATATATTTAAATGTGTTTGGTTATTGGTTAACTGAGCTGATAAATTATATCGCAAATACACAGATGGTATAAGCTTATCTTATTAAAGTTATTGCTGTTGATATTGAATATATTTTGCACTCAGTGCTTCTTTAAACCCACATGGAATCAATAAGAAATACACTTCCAACGTAATCATTTTATTTTTGCATTTTGTTTACAAAAACATGCTTGTTAAATATTTCCCTTACATCGTCATCTGTCAAACCTGTCAATTATTGTAAACATAATCGGTTGCTTGAAACGAATTGCAAATGCAAATTTGTATTGAAATTATGATCATAATGATGATCAAACAGTGATTTTTCAATATTTGACAATCTACTGCACATCATGAGATAATTTGTATTTATTTTTCCATTAGAATCCCTTCATGACATACCCTTTTAGACAAAACAGAAATTATATGTTTCATTGAGTCATTTCTGATCAATAGTCATGTCCACAATAATCGGAAAAAAATGACATTTAAGGAAAATAAAGGAGTAAAAAGGTTCAAACAAAGTGTAAAAAGATAATAATAAGCAGTGACATGAATTTGAATTGAAATTAAATTGTTTAGTACACCGAAACACGAATCTCCGACACATTTTTGACAAGTCAATACCATACCGATTAAAATCAAATTATTTTTAATGCATCAAATTTGATAAAGAATTGATTGAAATATATAACTGCAGATATATTACTTTCTTTTTCCGAGATGATATGCATCAACGAACTATTTTAAGATTGTTTGATCTGAATTCATAATGAGGACGACTACCAATCCATTTTTATAATATCAGTGACAGAGTTAATTTAGAAAGAAACGTTATAATTACCAATAATATATATAGAAGTAAAATATATTTAATCTTCTATAGAAGTTTCAAATTTTGTTTGGTTGTTAATCATAGACAGTTGATAACTTTTTGCATAAATTAAATGATAAATTGTTCCATTCGCAGTCAATTTGCTACATAGATTATCTAAATTATCTGTAGCCCATTGAACTCCAATGATGGATACAAATAGCTTTGTGACTGTTTAAAAGTGTGTCAGTTATTAAAGGAATCTATTTAAATGATACAAGTATTTCATTAAACAACTATACGAGTGTGTCGTAGTATTGTTATTGCTTTTGTCACTGTAATACCCACCTCCGGAAGAAGGTAATACTGGTAATATACTTCTACAATTACTATAAATCAAAAATATACAGAGAGGACATTTATAAACTTTCATAGTTTCCTGTCAAATCATTGCATGCTGTAAATTAATGTATTTATGGTAAATAAAGTTTCTTTTATATTAAATATGTTTACGTAAAACAACATTTGTAAACGGTAATAATAAGTATATTCTTGAATCCATGCTTATTTATACGCTGATAAATGTTATTGTTATAGTAATAACACTTAGGTATAAAATTTAATCTGACATCCTAAAGTGTATAAAACTCTTTTCATGTATCTGCTGCTGGTTTTTGTAAAGTAAATATCATGTCGATTATAATAGCATCAAATTTTATAAAACTGCAGATATATTGCTGGCACAATTAGCTATGTTTAGTTTTCTTCTCCGAGATGATATGCATCAACGAACTATTTTCAGATTGTTTGATCTGCATTCACAATGAGGACGAATACCAGTCGTTTTCTTATAATAGCACTGAGACAAAAATAGAACAACTGTATTGCCAATAAACTTTTATTGTACATGTAATATAATCATTTTGTCAGCAACAGATAAAAGCAACAACTGAATTTATTTATTAATACAAGTCATGTTTTTCAAATCTGTGTAACAAATTAAGAAATACATTCTTTCCAAAATTTTGAAAAACACAAAAACCTTTGGTTGTTTTAAAATAAAATTCTGAGAAGTGTTAAAGAACACATTTACATGTGTATTCCTATTATTCAAAATATGTATAAAAAATGTGTTTGTTTAATTATAAATATTCGCTACTATTATAAAGAAATAACATATTTGCTGCATTTGCTATTGTCATTTTTTACCCAACAACTAAATTAGACCTTTGCAATTTGTTTAAGATCGAAATATAGTTGTATATTTGCCATCTTTCAGGAAGATAAACCTTAATTATTTAAATTAAATATGTTTGATATGATTAAATTGCATTGAATACGGAAACATATTTGTGGCGCCGTTTTAATATAATTTTCCTGATGATAGCATGATCTGCTTTGTGCAATACAGGATATTAACATTCAAACCAATATATTCTATTTATAGCATTGTGATGAAAATAGAATCAATCATTTGTAAAGTATGATATAAAAAGGGCCAGTGGGCAGTTTAATTGAATGTTTATCTAATTATTAACGAGAAAATTAAGCAGAACAGATGAAAACTTTTTCATATCTGGGCAGAGCTGTCATACGATAGTGATGTGTTATACATTTGTAGTAGACAAAAATAAATGTTTTAAATGTTGAATGTTTAATGCTATGTGATATAGAACAAATAAAAACTTGTATATATAAGTAAGCAAAACAGACATAGCATACAATTCAATGGTACGAGTAACGTACTGCCGATCATTGCATTGCTAAACGTGCTATTTTTGTATGTTCACGGATGAATCAAATTTATTTTAATCAAAGACATTAATTGGGTAGTATTACAATTTGTAATGCCTTGAAAAATTATATGGTGTTTAAAAGGATTGTTTGCTATATTCCGTTCTGCACACAACCGTTTATACTGGGCAATTTAGCTTGTCAATAATCCTTAGAATTTTCTGTACAGCAATTTTCAGAAATTAATTTAAAAAAATATCTTTTCTATTCTTGTTCCACCAACATCATCAAAGAAAATGAATGACGTCTGTGATGCGTTTAGAGGATATATTAATAACGCACTTTTAATCTAAGAAATCACTATTTGTTTACTTTAAGTAGATAAATGTAGCATACTAAACATTTAAATAACTGTTGTAATGTTACATATGCCGAAATCATGTCAAATTCAGTTCAATGATACTCAGATTCCAACAATTCTATTTTAATATCAATATGCAACAAATTAGCAAGACAGTAACTGTATAATTATCTAATTTAATGTAACGCAATTCAAGAAAGTTTACGTAAGATATTACAAAAGCTCATAGCAGCTTGGTATTGTAATGTCTTCAATATAGATTTACCTTGTAATTTCAGATTACGAATCAGTAAATAAGCACACTAGGTAATCCTCACTTTTGAACGAGTTCAAGAAGCCGTCGTCAAAATATCAAGGAGCATTGACATAAATAACAAAACCATTGTATACAATATGACTTCCAGTTCCCACGAAATAAATTTTAACCAAAATAGAATATATAAGTTTTTATAAAGCTTAAACAACTCATTTTGATATAAATC